AATAGTTATATGCGCTTTGAGTCCAATGTGAAATAGCCTTATTTCGATTATTTTCTTTTTTTGACCAGCAAATGTTCTTCGCAAGTGTTATTTTTTTCCCTTGATTTGTTTTCCGTCGATTTTGTTTTCCGTGCTGAGCACCAATGTTACCGACGCCAGGGAGGCAGCTTTCACACCTATCGACCCATCAACTCATGAACCGGGAACCAGCGGCTTTACTTCCCTTCAGAAGGAAGGCGTGATCAGAGATGTTATGCCTCAAAACATTCCGGCGGCGCCGACTAGGATTGAACCCAGCCCAGCAGGCCTGGGTGAGAGGCGCAGCTATCCGCAAGTGTTAAGAAAAAATTCCGATTTTTTTTCTAATTACCGTTTGGCCTAATGACCATTCGGTCGAATGACCTTCGGCCTAATGACCCAGCATTGCATACATGCGGGCAAATATAAAAAAAAAACAGATCTGAAATATTGTCGTAACGTACCACGAAAAGGTGATCTACCCACGTTACGGGGAACGTACTCAACGTATGAACGTTCAGAACGTTCAAGTATAGTTAACTTAAGAAGATAGTCTGGTATACTTGGTGACAAATTAACGATCCTGACTCAAACTCAGAGAATCATATAGTGACAATTGACAAAAACAACAACAGCACCAAATACATAAATGAACAAGCTCAGAAAACCTCAATGAAATTTTATAAGATTTGGGTCTGCCTTCAAGCTTCAAAGTCAAGTGAATGACTGCCTCTATTCCATGTATACGACGTGGAAATTAATCAATCAAGTTACTGAAATACTGAAACAATCATGCGTACCTTCTACCAAACTTCATTGTACATACATACATACATTTATTTGTACAACATCACATTTAAGATAAGACATAATCAACAATAGTACGTCAAAATACTCGGTTTGCGGCTGCCACTCTCCATCCTCGGTCATGCCCAATGCTCGCTTGATCACTCTCTACCTGTTCCGCCCATCGTGCTCTCTGCGCTCCACGCCTTCTTGTGCCAACCGGATCAGTAGCGAACACCAACTTTGCAGGGTTGTTGTCCGGCATTCTTGCAACATGCCCTGCCCACCGCATCCTTCCGGCTTTGGCCACCTTCATTCTTCGCCGCCACTCACCGTTCTCCTGAACACCGCCGAAGATCGTCCTTAGGTGCTTGCAGGTCCTCCTCGAGCATAGTCTCGTGTCTCGTGTCCATAGAGGACCACCGGTCTTATTAGCGTTCTGTACATGGTACATTTGGTGCGGGGGTGAATCTTTTTTGACATTAGTTTCTTCTGGAGCCCGTAGTAGGCACGACTTCCACTGATGATGCGCCTTCGTATTTCACGACTCACATTGTTGTCAGCCGTCAGTAAGGATTCAAGGTAAACTAATTCCTCCACTACCTCGAAAGTATCACCGTCTATCGTGACACTACTTCCTAGACGAATCCTGTCATGTTCGGTTCCGTTGTTTTTGACGCACTCACCACCAGTCTGACCTTTGCTGCTTCGTGTTTCAGGCGGGTGTACAGTTCTGCCACCGTTCCAAATGTTCTTGCGATAATGTTTGATGGGGCTTACCCGTTCCTTTTTGAAGGATTTTCCACCGTCTATCAATCGACGGCCCAGAAGATTGGTATGATGAATTCACCGGGGGGACTAGTCCCAGTGTTTGCAATTTTCTCCACCTTGCACGGACACTTTGTAATACAAACTGCTCCTGATGCACTTTTGCACTATGCACACAACGCGCGATTCGGAGATTGCTTTATGCTGCTTGACCACTTAAGCTAATAGTCGTCACAGGAACACTTTCGGATCACTCAAGGAAATAGTTAATCAATTGCACTACTGGATTGGGTTTACTTTTCTCTTTAATCTACGACCGGACTACAGCAGAAAACGGGATGTATCGCTTCCGACGGTATATTTTGTACTATCCTATATTCACAATTTGTTTTATCTCCTATCTATGTACAAAATGGCAAAATGACCACTACAAGTGGACGCTATCGTGTGTTGCGCATGCGCGCAGCATCCTACTCATTTCTCTCTTCATCTCTGGCTTAGGATTAGGGTTACTGATACATAATTTTAGAGCACTTTCAATGTATAGGATTAAGTTTTAACTATAAGTTTAGCTGTAGGATTTAGTTAGTTCATTAAGGTTAAGTAGATTTCAGTTCATTTAGGATTAATTTAGTTTACGTTTAGTTCAACATCCATCAATGTCCATGTCGTCCGCAAAGCACACAAATTGACCGGATTTCGTGAAAATCGTACCCCGACTGTTGAGCCCGGCTCGTCGCATTACACCTTCTGGAGCGATGTTGAAGAGTAGGCATGAGAGTCCGTCACCTTGTCGCAGTCCCCGGCGAGATTCGAATGAACTGGATAGTTCACCCGAAACCCTTACGCGGTTTTGCACACCGTCCATCGTTGCTTTGATCAGTCTGATCAGCTTCCCAGGAAAGTCGTTCTCGTCCATGATTTTCCATAGCTCTGTGCGGTCGATACTGTCGTATGCCGCCTTAAAGTCGATGAACAAATGATGCGTTGGGACCTGGTATTCACGGCCTTTCTGGAGGATTTACCGTACGGTGTCCGTTGTCGATCGGCCGTCGATGAAGCCGGCTTGATAACTTCCCACGAACTCGGTCATTTTAGGTGATGGACGACGGAAGATGATCTGGGATAGCACTTTATAGGGGGCATTCAAAATGGTGATCGCTCTGAAGTTCTCACATTCCAAATGGTCGCCTTTCTTGTGAATGGGGCAGATTACCCCCTCCTTCCACTCCTCCGGTAGCTGTTCTGTTTCCCAGATTCTGACTATCATCCGGTGCTGGCAGGTGGCCAACTTTTCTGGACCCATCTGGATGAGTTCGGCTGCGATACCATCCTTACCAGCTGCTATGTTGTTTTGAGCTGCTGAATGGCATCCTTAACTTCCGTGGGAGTTGGGCCTACGTTCTCCTCGCCATTCAGGTGCTCATCGAAGTGCTGCTTCCACCTTTCAATCACCTCACGTCCGTCCGTCAAGAGGCTCCTTTCCTTATCCTTGCACATTTCAACTCGCGGCACGAAGCCGTTCCGGGATGCGTTGAGCTTCTGGTAGAACTTCCGTGTTTCTTGGGAACGGCACAGCAGTTCCATTTCCTCGCACTCCGCTTCTTCCAGGTGGCGTTTTTTCTCCCGAAAAATGCGAGTCTGCTGTTTCCGCTTCTGTTTATACCGTTCCACGTTCTGTCGGGTTCCATGCTGCAGAATTACCGCCTGCGCTGCGTTCTTCTCCTCCAAAATCGCTCTGCACTCCTCGTCGAACCATTAATTCCGTCGACTTCTTTCCACGTACCTGATGGTGCTCTCGACTGCGTCGGTGATGGCTGCATTTACTGTACTCCAGCAGTCCTCTACAGGGGGCACATTGAGCTCGCCCTCTTCTGGCAACGCTGCCTCGAGATTCTGCGCGTATGCTAAGGCGACATCAGGTTGCTTCAGTCGCTCTAGGTTGTACCGTGGCGGGCGTCGGTACCGTACATTGTTGATGACGGAATGTTTTGGGAGCAGGTTGATCATCACCAGCTGGTGGTCAGAGTCGACGTTAGTGCCACGATAGGTCCTGACGTCGATAATGTCGGAGAAGTGCCGTCCATCAATCAGAACGTGGTCGATTTGCGATTCCGTCTGCTGTGGTGATCTCCAGGTGTAACGATAAGGGAGGCAGTGTTGGAAAAAGGTGCTACGTATGGCCATGTTCTTGGAGGCGGCGAAATCGATGAGTCGTAGGCCGTTCCCGTTTGTCAGCTGGTGGGCGCTGAACTTTCCAATCGTCGGTCTGAATTCCTCCTCCTGGCCTACCTGAGCGTTTAGGTCTCCTTCATTGTAATTACTTATTGAAAACTTCACGAATTTTGTGACACCTCCATTACAAGCCATACGGTGTGAAATCATTGCAATCCTCAATTGCAACAATTAATTCCCTTTATATTTAGATTAGATTTAGTTTTAGTTATTAGTTTTAAGATGTCTATATACATACTGACATGCATATATAGAACACTTGTTTAAAATGTTTATAATTTTGTATTGCCAAGCCAGGAGCAATGTAAAAAAAAAGACGTACCGTGCCCTGGAAATATGTTTTGAAATCTTTCGGAATTACCTCGGAAGTTAGCCTTAAAAGTCTCCTAAGCATAATCTTGTATCTATACTTCCAAACTTATCCTGAAGCTCCCCGGACTAATAATACCTCTGAAACGTCTACAGAAGCTCTTTAAGCGTGTAGTATAATTGTACAAACTTGTACTCGAAGTCTTTTCTGGAGCCTCACCTGAAGTATGTATCAAAATGAATGTGTCTGCCTTTGAACATCTCTCGAAGTTCACTGGAATGGATTTAGTAGATTTTGGTTTTGGCGACTCTGTCAACTGATACAAAATTGTATCAACCGTTGAACGACGGGTGGCATGGCGAGTGTTATGTCTGTTCATAACTTTCCATATAATTATGAAAACACTTGCACAAGTGATTAAGCTTAGTTAGTAAAAGCCTTAAGGCCCTGCCAATATGTTCAATTGAAGGTAGGCCTTGTAAATTTAACGATTGATAGCGTGTCGAGTATCATCGGGATTTCCGGATAGGTAAGGAAATTACCGAACACAAAACATAACCAAACAGCCGAAAGCCATTCACCGATAACGTTGCTGTTATCAATTGAGCGAGATAATTCTATCAACATTTGGACTTACTCGTACAAAACTTTAAAGCTGACCAAAATACTGGAGACCTAGAGATTTATCATAGTAGTGCTTTCGATGATAACGGTGTGCTGCTTAGAAATATGCTTGAATCAGCATTGGTCGGGTTACTAATAAAACAAAATTAAGAAGGGGACGACGAGGTAAGATGGCCACCACTGTTCTCGGCCTGCATCTACAAAAGTTAAATTTACACTAGTGAATTATCGAGCATGAGTTTCAACTATTATATTTATTGATTTTAATTTTCATTCTTCATCTTCCATAATTCATGCCTCCACATCTGAATTCTCCAGGATCCAATCCAAAAAGTGCGTCACGCGAACGTAAACGGATGGTCTTCCGATGGCACAACCAGCCGATGATCCAAACGATACAATTCCCACCAACAGGCTCTCTCCGTTGTCCTGAACTGTGAGTGGGCCGCCAGAGTCACCATTGCAGGACGAGCGACCACCGTTACCAGAGAGGCAGATGTTCTGCGGTTGGATCACGTGCATTGCATTGTTCCATTGATCCAAACAATTGGCGAAAGTGATGATGGGATTGATAGCAAATCTAACAACAGGCGACGTACTGGAACTGGTGTCGGACGTTCGCCCGAATCCGGAAACTGTACCCATCATACCGGAAAATGTGCGACCATCTTGACGGCTTGGGAGGCCAACCGGTTGAACTCGCTCGTTGAATTCGATAGAATTGGTTAAGCGAATCAAGGCAACATCGTTTCTGATGGTGTTCGCAGTATACTCCGGATGGATCGTAATTCCATCGGCTTCAAAAACGATGGACTGTTGCGATGGCTCGTTGTTGAGACGATTATGTGCTCCTAGTAGAGCTGTTCCCCCAAGAGCCCCAATAACGCAATGGGCGGCGGTCAGAATATAGTCGTTGGATATGATGGAGGCGCCACACAATGCACTACCCTGATCAAGGTTGATGACTAAAGCAACCTGATACGGGAACTGACCGGGTCTAGCTTCGTTTCCGTTGGTTATCCTTGAGCTGGGCACCGAGTATCGAAGGGATTGTAATTCCTGCGGCAGCCGAGCCCAGTAGTGATCGAAATCTTCGATTGGACGCACCTTGGACCAATCGATTTCGGCGGCAGCGGTCACGGCCGCCACACCTATCAGAAGCACCACAGAAATTTTCATGGTGGATTATGGATTATGTATACTACGCGTGCGCTATGCGTTGGTTGCTTTTGTAGCTTTATCAGCCAGCTTATCATGGTCTTTAATTGGTGTCTGATTCCAGTTATCAAGGTTTCTTTTTTGGAATATTGTGGGTTATCGTATTGTCGTTCTTTGTATAGAAGGGTTTTGAAGTTTATCATGATCAGCTTGAGTTTGGGTTTTTGTGTATCAATTGCACCGACAGCAGATAATGAGTGCGTGTGCCAAAACCAGGGGCCACATTTTGTGCGAAAGTCGAAACGAATTTTTCATACAAGCGTTCATAAAAAAACGCTTCGTTTCGGCTTCCATAATGAGGCCCCAGGTTAAGCTTTGGCAGTACAGTTTTGAGGAAATCGGGGTAAGATGGACACCTTAAGGATTGTTATAGTTTTTTCGCCAATAAATAAAGCATTTGGCTTATAATACCAGTATTTTGAGGGATAAAATCATACTAATTGATGCATCATATACCATTTGATTTTAAATCTTAAACACTTATATAAAGAAAGAGAAAAGGATTAGTAATTTCCATTAAATTCCACTACCTTAATTGCTTATCCTTGACAGATACGCGTATTTCGTTTACTACATGCAGCCTTCTACATTGTCTTGTACTAATACTGAGTTTCTTAGGAGTGGAAATAGGACGGCTGAAAGGTAGCTTTACATAAGTGGTGATCTAAATTTTTATGATTTCAGTGAAATTAGTAGAAATAATTATTTATTCATACAAATCTTACAGTAGGAGCACTGAACATCTAGTAAGCCGTAGATAGAAAAAAAATATTCAAAAGGTTTTTATGGCTGTTTGGACCTGGTGCTAGTTTTACTAAATCCACGGCAAAAATAACCCATTAAGTTTCCTATATGTATATATAAGGGTGGTTTCGAAATATCGATTTTGCTCCACCCAGCTCAATTGATTCCAAATCAGGTCCTGGTTATTCTCTCCAAATTTGAGCTCATTTGGTTGCCATCTCATAGTTGGTATCGATAAGCGCTCGATTTCATTTATGGCCCTGTTTGCAAAATTTTTGCGAATGGAACGATGCAAGGTCAGCTCAAAACACTGCATATTTTTCAAATTGTACTTCTGTATAAACATTGATAACTTGTTGGAAAATTTTGCTGGTTCTCTCTGGACTTCAAAATATAAGCATTTAACTCAAAATTTACGCGGTTGTATTTTTCCTCCTACGAAGTTTGATGCAACTGGTTCCAAGTAAGTTTACTACAGTTTTTCTGTGTGAAGTAAGGTGATGCTTTTGTTAAAGCTTGCTATATAATTATAAATAAAGGACACAAATGGTCAAAGAAATAGTAAGACATAAGTTCAGGAGTGCTAAGAACACATAGAATTATAAACCACGTTAGAATTATTTTAAAAAAATTGACCGCCCCCTTGATTCGCTTCCTCATTTTACAGCTGGTATAATCAATTTGACAGATCGATGTCCTTCTTTACCACTTTAAATCACTGAAATGGGGTCGATTTTTGAAGATCGAGTTCCACATATGTTATGTGCAGCCAGGGTAATATGGTCATCAGTAGTATCTCATTAGTGAATACACTGGTAAACTTGTCTCTGTTGAATTCCATAGATGATGGAAGGTCGGACTCCATGCGTTGCTCGTTTACGTAGTACCAAAAGGATTTAAGTTTGCGCTGGATGCCTCGTTGGAAACTTGAAAAGCATTCACGACTGACTCGCTGGCACATGTGATTTAAAGAGGCTATATTTATAAAGAGACGACTTGTCAAAATTGTCATAGGAAAAGTTATTCCAATCGAGCAGAAGACCTGTCAAATGGATAAAATGTCGCCCTTTACCCAATCCAGTCTCTTTAATGTGATTCAGCCTTACATAATGTAGTTTCAGAGGAAGCGTGCGATACTTTGTAAATCTTCTCGATGCTGATCTCTTGATTGACCTCAACCTGCGGAGCTCTCTCGCATGCCAGGAAGGGTGAGAAACTTTGTGGAGAGTTCGTGTCTGTGAATGACATATGCCAAGACATGTGAAAAGGTTTGCGCTGTAGCCTCAACGTCATCAGGATCAAAGATATTCTCCCATACCATGCTAGACAACACATCTATGATGCTATGGTGGTCAGTTTTACGGAAGTCATAAGAAACCGCAGCAGGATAACCGTCGAAATCACGCACTAGTTTTTTCTCATCAAAATTCTCTTGAAAATTCCTCAGTGACTGAATTCCAAAATTTTGCCCATGTTTTTCTTCTGCTTTCCTTTATTTAACGTCGGTCTCTGTTCCGCAATCTAGTGCCAATCACCGACGGATATCGATTGCCATCCATTTACGGCAATCGAATGTGCAGGAAAGCAGCTTCCACACCTGCGTAGGATATCGCACCCATTCATCACACATGGGCCGGGACCAACGGCCCATGTGTTCCGAAGTTCAGGAAACGCTCTCGAAAACTATTTTGTTAGCTTCTGCTTTGTAGCTATATTTGCAGACTTTTGTCAGATACTTCACAGCACGATGCTGGAAAAAATGGCTTATAAAGCTGAATATGTTATGGTGGGATGTAACCACCGACAAACCGACGTGACAGCTCATACAAGCTACTTTCAAGTTCGTGTCCAAGACGCCATATTTAAAATACGTTAAACACTACCGACGTCCAGGCATGGAAAATCATTTGCATTCATTTACATTCATTTGCCCCTAACTTTTTTCATCAACAGAATACCGCAAAATGGTGTATAGAGCTTTTGTAGGTTTTGTTATTAACCTACCTACTAAAGCTTTATACATCATTTTGCGGAATGCTGTTGATGAAAAAAGTTAGAGGCAAATGAAAGTAAATGATTGCATGAAATGAATATAAATGATTTTCCATGCCTGCCGACGTCATACCATACTGGTAACTCTAAGACTAAAAGGTCCCGAAGAAACGTGCTCAACTTTTTGGCTCAGCTCTGGTACTCTCTTCGGTCCCAAGCTAATCGATTCACCCCTCGAAACATAGGAAAATCCACTAACCCCTCTTTTATCTGTCAAACTTTCATAGCTAATCAAAACAAACATTGTGTAGTACTAGAATTTCGACTAGAATGGGGTCTGGTTTGCTTGGGACCAATAGGCTAGCCAATTTAAAATCGTTAGTTTCGTATTGATTGTTGGTCATACCATGAGCAAGGACACGAACCTACAGTCAGGAATCCTTATTGCCGGATTCCTTATTGCCGGTATCTCTTATTGCCGGATCCTTATTGCCGGGCTATCCGCGAATAAGGATATCCACAGCTTATGGGATTTTCACTAATGGGGGCTGTAGTGGATTATCTCATTTGTTTCAATACATAAAGCTATACTGTTTTCGACAAAGTTGCTGTACTGGGTTAGACCAACAAGCTTGTGCCATTGGATTCGGGTTAAATTGGGAACTACGCCGCTAGAGGCGCTTCACTTTTATGTTACTTATGACGGGCGCTATAATATTTGGATCATATTTCCAACATAGAATATTTCGTGTTCCTGACCATATAGAAAGTTACTGTCTACAGCAAAGTTGTTCAGGTGACCAAGTCCTTTCGGATGGTGGCCATATTAGTTCAGAACTCTCTCACTACGCAGCGCTAGTGTGCATGTGAAATTCCTATATAAACTGTATGTCGAGAGCCTGGCCATATAGAAAGTTGCTGTTTTCAGCAAAGTTGGGCAGGTGATCAAGTCCTTTCGGATGGTGGCCATATTAGTTCAGAACTCTCTCACTACGCAGCGCTAGTGTGCATGTGCAATTCCTATATAAACTGTATCTCGAGAGCCTGGCCATATAGAAAGATGCTGTTTTCAGCAAAGTTGGGCAGGTGAGCAAGTCCTTTCGGATGATGTCCATATTAGTTCAGAACACGCTCACTACGCGGCACTAGTGTGCAACTGAATTTCCTGTATAAGCTGTATCTCGAGAACCTGGCCATATAGAAGGTTACTGTCTTCAGCAAAGTTGTGCAGGTGACTAAGTCCTTTCGGATGATTATTATTATTATTATTTCAGTCATATTATTTCAGAACTCCCACACTACACGGCGCTAGTGTACACATGAACTTCCTTAAGGGGAGGTTTACTTGGATTTTTTCAAAAAATTGATTTTTTTTTTGCATAAAATGAAAGCTACAAGTGTGTAGAATATGTGGCCAAAAGGATTTTACGATCCGAAACATATTTAGCGAGTTATGGCGCTTTGAGTGAACCTTTGTCATGCGCGCTGAGGGACGCTACAAAAACTTTAAACGCGTTTTTCTCGAAACCATATTTTTTATAACAACTTAGAGCATAGGGCTTGAACAAATGATCCGATTTACAATCGGAAAATTGCGCTTTGAAGGATACTATTTTTTGTATGGCTTATACCTAAAATGAAAAAAAAATGTGCACTAAATTTTCAAATGTCCATAATTTGGTCAATTTTTGTCGGATTTCGTTCTAGTTAGATATTAGCCATAGGGAATATTATCAACTTTAACCACAATAAAAAAAAATCATTTCAGTTCACCACCAGAGGGTGTGCACTCGAAGTTCTGCAGCAAAACCTGACTGACACTCCTCCACGCGAGCCGCCATTTTGAGCCGCCATTTTGTTTTTTTACCTTAAAAAAAAAGTATTCAGGAATAGTGGACAAATATAATTATCGAAACCGGAAGTTCGTATGTCTTTTCATTCTCCTGAAAAAAAATTCCAAAGTTCAACTGTTTTTCAACCAAATCCAAGTAAACCTCCCCTTAATATGTTATGTCTCCAAAGCTTGTCCATATAAGATGTTGCTGTGCAATGTGAGAACAGGAACCGGAAAAGGGATGACGTGTAGAGGCCGGAAATCGATGTCAGATGCCATTATGGAATCCAAGATGGCGGCCATCGGCTCAAGAAAAACTGTCAAATACCCTACAATATGGATATTTTTGGAATGGGGACGACGTGTAGAGGCCGGAAATCGATGCCAGACGTCATTTTGGAATCCAAGCCAT